TGCCTCGGCCAGCTCTTTTCAAACTCTTCCACCCTTTGAAATGTCTCATTTCTGTAGCTGCTATTTAACTAGCCCCCGCGGCCCGCGTGGAAACAAGCGAGGGCTTTCATTATCATCTGCTACGACGACAGCGCCTGCGTATTTTTTTTCCTGACACAGACTACCAATGTTTCTGGGAAGATTCTGCCTTCCTGGCGGTATTAAAAATTCCATCACTTCTAGCTAAAAATGGACCAATAGCATGGGCCAGACACATTTTGCTGCTAACTCTCATTGAAAACGCCTTTTTATTCTCTTTCACTATGTGGACCAGAGACGTGGCCTTGTTGTGCTTAAAAGAAGCACCCAGGATCTTTTTCATGTATTGAACATACATAGATCAATCAATGTTTATCATATGCATAGGATACATTACACGCATGCACACACACACACACACACACACACACTACAAGGCAACACGCCACATGTACTGAACATACATAGATCAATCAATATTTATCATATGCATAGGATACATTACACGCATGCACTCACACACACACACACACACACAAGCACACTCCATTTTCTTGTTACCAAAAGTTGCTCCCCCTAACTGCACTGGCCAGGTGAGTTAGATGGGGGAGGGGTGGAGCTGGGCTTCTGTCGATCCAGATCGATGCTCCCATGTGGACAAGCCGAAAACCCGGGGTCCCTCTGCAAGATGCCTCCTATTTATCCCTCTCATGCAGCCAATTAGTCATCACCTCGGCTTTCTTAATGCTGCTTCAAAGAGAGTTCTTCCAAGGGCAGGCACTTGCTGCTTCACTCCCAAGGCCTCTGTATGTCCAGTCTTCTTCATGCGCTCACTTTGCAGGTATTGTTTAGATCTGGCTCCCAGACCTTCTCCACCCTTGCAACTGCTGCTGGAGGTGCTCCCCTTTCAGTCTCTATTCACACCTCATTCATTTCAACAGGACAATCAAGGAAAGGGGAGAGCTCAAAAGACATTTTCTCTTACAAGATCTATCTATATAAAAAGGAAAGTTTCTCTTAATAGGAAGTTATAGGAGAAATGTCACAGAGATTCTATAAGAACACTTAACAAATATTTATCTAAAAGGATAAGATCTTAATACAAAGTTATATGAGAGTGATAATTACAGGGATTTATCCACAGCCTTATCTCCCTTTGCTTCCCTTATCAATTTTCTACATCTCCTAGCTTCAGATTTATACCCATTGTAACACAGGACACCTATATTTTTTATACTTGACTTCACGTCTTCTATAAGTCTGACTCCCAGTTCTCCTCTGGTCACAGTTCAGCCAAGGAACAAGATGGTCCCTTTTGGGGGATCCTAGGAAAAGTTCGGCAGAGCAAATCCAGGTCCTCTTGATCCCTCTTGCACCTCACTAACATCTGCTCAGATACACCCTGATTTGTCCAATGCCCCCTTCCCTGGCCAGGGCCTGGGCCGCTATCTCAGAGGGTCCTGTTGGTAGCCTGCAGGTCAGTTCAATTCTGCCTGTTTCCCATTCAACAGTAGGGAGAGATTGGCGTCGATCCCGATCCACTCGGGCAGGAAGACGGCTGTGGACTTGTAGAAGTGGAGGAAGGGGGAATCGGGAAGAATGTAGTTGACCGAGTAGATGGTCTCCCCCCCGGCCAGGTAGGCGGCCCAGATGCCGAAGGTCCCGATGGTCATGATCGTGTGGTTGCAATGGGCCAAGAGAGCGAAATCCCTCCCCGGCGACGACTCCTTCCCGTCCCCCGAGAAATACACGTCCCCCCGCGAGGCGTCAATGTTCTCCCGGCACCAGTCCATCCCGTTGCTGGTCACCACGAAGACCGGCTCCTGGTACTTGGCCCGGAAGTAGCCCATGGCCTTGTCCAGGTAGGCCTTGTCCGCCACCACCCCTTTCCAGACCTGGTGCATCACCCGGACGTAGTCCCCCCTCCGGACGTGGACGCCGACGTAGGTCACGTTCTGGCGCTGGCCACGCAGCCCGGCCAGGTACTTGTTGGCCTCCTCGAAGGAGGTTCTGGCCTGCAAGGGGGGCGGGAGTGGGGTGAAAGGGGGAGAATCAGAGGAGATTTCTTTCTGGCCCGATTCTAACCCTTGCCAGGGTCCGAACCG